ATGATGCTTTGGAGAAGGTTAAGGTGATTCAGGATCGACTTCGTCCAGCCTAGTCTAGACAGAAGACTTATGCGGATCAGAAGGTTCGTGATGTTGTATTCATGGTCGGGGAGAGGGTCTTGCTCTAGGTTACGCCCACGAAAGGTGTTATGAGGTTCGAGAAGAAGGGCAAGCTGAGCCCAAGGTTTATTAGCCCATTCGAGGTGTTACGGCGGGTTAGGAAGGTTGCTTATGAGCTTGCCTTGCCTCCCAGTAGAGTAGGAGTTCATCTAGTATTCCATGTTTCTATGCTCTGGAAGTATCACGGCTATCCGTCTCATGTGTTGGATTTCAGCTCAGGTCAGTTGGACAACGATTTATCTTACATTCAGGAGCCAGTGGTAATTTTGGATAGACAGGTTTGAAAGTTGAGGTCAAAGAACAGTGCTACAATGAAGGTTCAATTGAGGGGTCAGCTATTCAAGGAGGCGGCTTGGGAGACCGAGCATGATATGCGTAGCCTTTATCCTCATCTATTCACCACTTCAGGTATGTATCTATGCTCATTGGAGGATGAATGATTATTTTAAGAGGGGGAGGATGTAACGACCTGGCCGGTCGTTTTGAGATTATTAGCCCCGATCCCCTATTTATTGCTTCCTCTGTTTCATTTTATGCTTATGTAACCTGCCGGGAGATTTTATTTTCGGTTTCGAAGTAAATTGGGACACTTAGTCCCTAAAATGGAAGCTTAAGTTCTAGGAATTTGACTGTAGTTTGAATTGTGTGAAGATGACTCCGGAATGGAGTTTTATGGGTTCCATTAGCTCCGTTGGGTGATTTTTGAGTTAGAAGCGTGTCCGGATTGTGAATTAGAGGTCCGTAGTTGAAGTAGGCTTGAAATTGCTTAAGTTGGATTTTTGGGAAGTTTGACCGGGAGTGGAATTTTTGATATTAGGGTCGGATTCTGATTCCGGAAGTTGGAGTAGGTCCGTAATGTCAAATATGACTTCTGTGCAAAATTTGGGGTCAATCGGACATGATTTGTATCAGTTGTAGGAGTTTGAAGTTTCAAAGTTCATTAAACTTGAATTGGGGTACGATTTCTATTTTTGTTGTTGTTTTGATGTGATTTGAGGGCTCGACTAAGTTTGTGTGGTGTTTTAGGACTTGACGGTATCTTTGGTTTAGGTCCCGGGGGCCTCAGGTGTGTTTTTGGATCATTTTCGGATTCATTTTGGACTTAGATGGATAGCTGATGCTGGGCTGCTTCTGGTGTCATCGCACCTGCGGTGAGTTGGCCGCAGGTGAGGATACACACGTGCGAGTGCAAGATAGAAGAAGCATATTTGGGCAACTCAGGCAGGACTCACAGGTGCGGAAGGGTTTCCGCAGAAGCTGCCTCGCTTCTGCGGTGGGAAGATGCGCAAAAGCGATAGAGTCGTAGGTGCAACACTTTGCTCGCAGAAGCGCACACACAGGTGCGTCCCCTCTTCTCGTAGAAGCGGACCCAAGGGACTTAATTCGAGTCCTCACCTGCGATGGAAATTTCGCAGGTGCGGCGTCGCAATTGCGACTAAAAGCCCGCAGGTGCGAGATCGCTAGGCGGAAAAGGCTATATTCGAGGGTTTGATTTCATTATCCATTGTTGGACCTGGAGAGCTCGGATTAAGGAGAAATTTCAAGGGTTTTTCAGAGGAAAATTTTGGGTAAGGATCCTACACTTGTTTTTGATTAATATCCACTAATCAATCGTTAATTTCATTATTTATTTAAGGATTTGGTTTGAGAAATTTGAGGAAAAAGTGGGAAATTTCTTCAACCGAATTTTGGGGTTTTGATTGAGGTGTTGGTATCGGATTTGAGTAATTTTGGTTTGACTGAAATCGTGGTTGAATGGGTGTTCATATTTTGTGACTTTTTTTCGATTCCGAGACGTGGGCCCGGGATGACCTTTTGCGGCAATTTTCCAATTTCTTGTTAATGTCTTGATTTCATTAATTAGATTGGTTTCTTATAGTTATATTTATAGTATGTAATTGCTTTTGTCTATATTTGGGCCATTCGGAGTCGGAAAGTCGAGGAAAAGACATTCTTGTTGATTGATTGAGCTTGGTTTGAGGTAAGTGGCTTGCCTAACCTTGTGTGGGGAAATTCCCTTAGGATTTGGTGCTGTTGTAACAATTTTGTGATATGTGAGTACCGTGTACGAGAGGTGACGAGTGCTTACACGGGATAATTATTGGAAAACCAGTTTTTACTAAATAGTAACTTGTTTTATCTTGACTGAGTTATCCCAACATGTGTAATTTTCATGTTTTAGCCTAATATCGCATGTCTACGTGTCTTAAATGCCTATTTAAAATATATGCAGCATGCTTAGTTGAATTCCTACTCTTTCCTTGATTTGCATTTAGTCTTAAACTGTAGGATTTCTTGCTATTACTTGTTGTTGCCATCAGTTTCGAGCTGTGTGTTTACTTTTGGGACTACGAGGAGGTACCTCGGGAGATCCCCTGTTGGATATTTACTTTTGGGACTACGATGAGGTACCTAGGGAGATCCCCTGTTGCATATTTACTTTTATGACAATGAGGCGGTACTCCGGGAGATCCCCTGTGACATATTTACTTTGGGACTACGAGGCGGTACCTCGGGAGATCCCCATTGAATATTTACTCTTGAGACTACGAGGCGGTACCTCGGGAGGTCTTCGGTTGGGTATTTAATTATGAAACTACAAGACAGTATCTTGGGAGCGCCCCTGCTGTTTACCCCTATGTGCTGTGTTGTTATCTTTCTGTAAATTCTCTTCGTTAGATTCTTAGACTTTTCATCACATTACTATATCTTTTGCCTTAAATAATTATATAGCAGTAGGACCCTAACCTGACCTCGTCACTACTCTACCGAGGTCAGGCTTGTTACTTAATAGGTACCATTGTGGTGTACTCATGCTAGTCTTATACACATGTTTAGTGTGCAGACCCAAGTACCTCATACCAGTCCCGCTATTAGTTGAGAGCACATGCTGGTGCTTCGGAGACTTCAAGGTATATCTGCCACATCCGCAGACCTCGGAGGCCCCCTCTATCCTCTATATTGTTCCTCCTTTATTTTTCGTAGTTACTGATGTATAAAGATAGCTAGAACAAATTCTTAGAGCTTGTGACTTGTGACTACCGGGTCTTTGGGGAGATATTTATACTCAGAGTTGTTGGTTCACTTATACATGCCGAGCGGCAGCTTTTTTTCCACCTTATCTATATATTTTCATCTATTGTTGTTAATGTTTGGCTGTTGTTCTGTTATTGTTCAGTTATTCCACGACTGTTAGGCTTACCTAATCTTAGAGAATAAGTGTCGTCACGACATCTTACGGAGGGAGATTTGGTTCGTGACACTTTCATTCGAGTTGTATTATTTATTATTGGGCTTACCTAACATGTTGGGGTTAGGTAACATCACGACTAGGTGGGATTTTAGGTAGTGACAACTAAGATTTGATTTTACTTCTTATATATTTTTCTTTTTCGTTGTTTAAGTTTTCAGAATTTTATTTTCGAATACAAAATGAATACAACTTGAATGTTGGAAAACTAATTCAAAGTTGTATTAGGAAACCTAAATTGTTTAAGATTTTATATTTTCTACTTTATTCAATTCATGTCTAAACAGTATTTGTGGTCATAATTAATATGGGAATATACTTTCATGTTTCTAGTTGAAACATGTTTCGTGCTACCATAAATTGGGGTGTTAGTAGCTTATTACTTGCGGAGATATGTGGAGAATTGTGAGAAGAATTGTAAAGAGCTTTCAAAGATTGAATACAATAATTTTTCGTCATATTAGTATCAGAGATTCTAAGATCTTGGGAGAGAATCAAATAGTTTCTACTGCCGGCGAGCGACACTAACCAATGTGTGCTCCTCGTTTGGCTACTGAGTATGTTGACAAACGTCAAGTAAATAATATATGCATGGAAAACAATCATGTTGAGAAGGAATCAAGGATTGAGCAAAACCAATGCAAACTTAAAGCGGTGCAAGCAAATATGGCACAAGAGGAAGAAGCTCTTCACTAAAAAGTAGAGAAGCGGTCAAGAAAAAAAATTAGGAGCTGGAGACAGATGCATATGCAATTGGGTATTGGTGACAAAGTATATCAACCGGAGTTGAAGGAAATTGCTTAAAAAAAATTGAGTGTTGGTGATAAAGTGGATCAACGGGCGTTGGAGACAAGTGCTTCAGAAAAATTAGGTATTGGTGACAAAGTGCATCAATGGGCGTTGTAGACTTGTGCTTCAACAAATTGCGGGTGTCGGTGACAAAGGGAATCAACGGTAGTTGAAGATATGCGCTTCATCGAAATTAGGTATTGGGGACAAAGTGCATCAACGGGAGTTGAAGACATGTACTTCAACAAAATTAGGTGTTGATGACAAAGTGCATCAACGGGAGTTGAAGACAAGCGCTTCAACAAAATTGGTTGTTGGTGACAAAGTGCACTAACAGGAGTTGAAGGCAAGTGTTTCAATGAAATTGAGTGTTGATAAAAAAGTGCATCAACGGGTGCTGAAGATAGGTGCTTCACCAAAATTGGTTAGTGGCAAAGTACTTCAATAAGGGTTGGAGACACCTGCTTCAAGAAAAGTAGAAAAGAAGTGCTCCAATAAAAAAAAAAGTCGTAAACAACTTTTAATTACGAGAGAATATTGAAAAACTAATTTACAGTTGTAGTAGGAAGCCAAATTCTTTTAGGATTTGATATTTGTTAGTTTATTTAATTCATGTCTAAGTAGGATTTGTTGTAAGAATTAATATAGGAATAGATTTTCCTGTTTTTAGTAGAAATATGTTTCATCCTATTACAATAGGGGTATTAGTAGCTTATTTTATGTGTAAAGAATTGTGAGAAGAATTGTAGAGAGCTTTTAACGATTCAATACAATAATTTTCCATCATTGAACTTTTTATTCATTTTCTCAAACTAAACAAATCATCGAGCATTTGCTTTGTGAATATGCTATATATATATATATATATATATATATTTCAAATTTCTCATATTACAAACTTCATGAGTCCAGAGACGATTTTAAACAACTTGGAGGCAACTCCATGCCGGTGGCTGTCCCGTGGGCATTATCACACGACGAGATAGCGGGTCCACCAGCGCCATTGTATACCAAATTGATTTCATTAAGGTTGATTCCCTCGCAAGGAAATGAAGCACTACAATTCAAAGTAACAGCTTCCGCCGAACTTGAAGTTCCTCTTATGTTATTGAATGTCACGTCTTTGATTTGCACTGAGCTCGCCTACGAAACAAAGAAGAGTGTTGGCATCACGTGATATAAATATTATTCAATTGAACATTTTCGTGTTTGATATGACTTATGATATTATGTAGAAAAATAATTTTCATGAGATAGTCTCTTTTTTTTTTTTTTTTAAATGTGAGATAATACTGGATATGTTATTGTATGATTTTTTTTCTTTTTGTGTGTTTGGAGTACTAAAAATATGTTTTTGATCCAAGAAAACATGTTTCATCAAAAGGGAGAAAAAGGATTTCCGTCACTTGTGCGCGGAAGTCATTTTTTTTGTAACTATTTTAAACTATAAGTTATAATATTTGCTCTAACTGATACCTAGATATTATTATTAAAATTTTGTACTCAAGAATTTCATTAAAATATTTTTTGATTTGCAAATATTATTATTAATTTTAACATATAATTTTTTTGGATAATGCTTCGTGCTTATCAACCAAAGACATGTAAATATTATTCCGATTAAAATAATTCCGTCAAACCATTTTTAATTGAACATGACTTTCGACATTCCAGAAATGTTAAATGTAAAGATGGAGAAAAGGACAGTGCAAGTACCTGACTACTGCAAGGAGGCGATGGACAATAATGCTGATCAATAATGATAGGATTTTTAGCATTATCCATGAAAATATCCTCAAAATTTATACTTGTGGCACTACCAGACTCCGATGGTGCCCAAGTCTTAATCCTGGCGCCATTTTGAGTAGCAGTGAAAGTGCAATTTTTGACGTGTATATCCGTGACGACTTCATTTTGTATTTTCCCTAAGCTTCCGATGCTTATTCCATGGCCAGGGCCACAAGTGATCCCTGAAATGTTGATGCTTTGGCTGCCATTGATCATAGATATACAATCGTCTCCAGTACCAATGTTGGAATCCAAAACTTGAATGTTGGTGGAGACGCTCATGTGAATGCCGTCGGTGTTAGGGCTGTCGCCTGGTGCGGTTATGTTAACATGACTAAATGTCACGTTATTGCACATAAAGACGCCAAAATGGAAACTCTTGCTGTTGATTGAGTGTATGTCGTGCACCGCCGCATTTTTGACAGAATCTAATTTCAGTGTCTGGTTCAAGTTTAAAAAAATAAGGCATAGAAAGACAATATTAAGTTTTTAATAACTTCACATCATAATCACAACAAGAAGTATTCAGTAAGTACGTAAATGGTGAAAGAAATTTTGTATTGTCACTAATTTTTAATCGCTATACTTCTATGATTGAGTAATATCGTAAATTCACTTTTATGGCGAAATTGGATTTAGTCAAATTATCGATATGCCAAATATACAAATAGGTTTATTCAGAATAAAAATATATCAGAATAAATTAGACAAAAATGACAAATAACATAAATTTTATACAAAATTAAACTTACGATAGGAAGGGTTGGGCAGTTAGAATTCTTGGAAGTATCAAAATAAGGCCAAGCTGAAGCCCCTTGTCCATCTAAAGTTCCGCCTCCTTCAATCTCTAAGCCATCCACATGTTGAAAGGAAATCCAAGTCGAATTGCAGAATAGAGAAGGATCTGTTGGAGCTTTAACAACCCCTTGGATTTGGAAGGTCATGGATCCACTGCATGGTCCAATAAAATTTGCAGCATATACCATGTATTCCCCTGAAGGTATCAAGAATTTGGCTGTTCCACTCCATTGGCATGCATCCTTCCAAGTACTCAAGAATGCCTTCCAAAATAAACAAATAAATAAAAGTTAGACACTGAATTTTCATATATACAATGACCATTATATGTAGTCATGTTCGCAAAAAGGGCAATGTTATACCATTTTCCTTTTTTATCCCTCTCAAAAGGCTTTCCACTTTGCTCCCTTGATGACTCATACCCATAATGTCATGGTTGGAAGTGTAGGGTGCTTACTATTTAATACATACATTCCTTATGATATTAGATATGAAGTAAAACTCTCTTCTGTAAAGTTTTGTGCAACAAAACACAATACTTAACTCATCAAGTGGAAAATTCACCTCTTAATTAATTAAGCTTTAATTCTATTATTTTTTGTGTAATAAAATATAATAGTACGTTCAATTGAAATAATGATCTAATCCTACTATTTGCGCACGTACAAACATACAAAATTCATATGAAACATAGGTTGACATTTACACAAGGAAAAACTTGTCTAGTTGAGAATTATAATATTTTTTTATGCCAAATATGAAAGGAAGTGTGCTAAGCTATAGTTTTACTCGTGTGACGGCATGAGTTTGTCAATATTTTTCATCCATCTAGAATTTGTGCAAGAATTAATACGATAGACACATTTAAATTTAAAATGGTTGGTTCTCACCTTACTATCATCTGTCTTTCCATCCGCTTTAGCACCATAGGATTGGACATTGAAGAGCTTATCCTCTGCACTACTGCACCCAAGAATAAGGCCTATTACAATTGCTATTCCGAAACTAGAAATTGAAGCCATTTATTTATTTGGTTTATTTTTACTTTCTTCATCACTAGCCTTTATATACACCTCTAATTTCCTTCACACTTTAAATTGCTTATTCATTCATTAACTTATTACCTTAATAGTGTTGCATTTAGAAGAATATGATAAGAAAATTTGGTTTCTATTACACCTAAGAGATTTCTTTAGATATAATGGATTAATAAGCAAGGAAAGTGAATAGATATTCTAAATGAATATCATGGTAAGTTTATTAAACCGCCAGCTGGACTTGTGAGATCAGTTTAGGTAATTTCTTTACAAGAAGTTGTTCTAGCAACCGGAAAAGAACATAGTTAAAGTCAAGTGAGAAGTGAAAGCTTTACATTATTTTAAAATCAACTCAATGCCAAGATTCATCCGGAGCAAATTATCACATTGTTTACCTCGAAAATACGAGTAACAATTATATATGATTTGTGGTTTTAAAGATATGTGATTTAATTCAATACCAATTAATAATCAAGAAATATGAAGTAGGAATAAACAAGTGAATCAAACCAATATTACTTGACAGTGATGACCTTGAGACGGGCTAAGAGCAATAAAGTAAGAAAAGTAAAGTAAGAACAATAGAGTTAAAGGACAATGCTGATGAACAGTAGGTGAAAAGATAGGGAGTATATTCTTTTCTCAGCGATAAGATGATGTTGCAAATGATTGGGGTCCCCTTTATATAATAGGGGAACCCTAAATAAGGAATATTTCTATTTACAGTAGGGAATATTCTTGATACAGCTGTCTAACCGCCTAGTACAGAATTGTACAATCCTATTCCGGGATTTGCGCCATGACTTTGGGGACGTGGCAGGAATCTAGCTCGTTCTGGTACAAATCAATAACGGTACTATTTCGGGGTCGAGCTCACTTGGTCTTGGTATTCCTCGAACTCCTGTCTCTGAGCATTGCACTCTGTCTTCGAGCTCGAGTCTGGTCCACCGGTTTCGAACTTCACCTCTCTCGAACTCGGGCTTAGGACAGAACCTCGAGCCTATAACTCGGGGAATACGATTTTGACCATATACAGATAGTCCCCGCGTTTCTTAGAATAAGATGATAAGAAACGATTTGCACCTCAATTTTCCCGAGCTTCTTATAATGACGTCATGCCCTTGACGTAGGTGCTTGAAGTGACCGGAAATGTCACGTCGGCACTCTCCCCCAAAACATCAAATGCGTGCCAGTGTTGGTTGGCCACTAGGGTCTCCGAACTGCCGTCGCCTTTCTATAAATATGAGGCTACTCTTTTGAACAAACCCATAACACATTTCATCTTCATCTACTCTGATTCTTTCTTTTCTTTACTTCTTTCTCTAATCATCTGTTTCTATGGTCCGAACCTGCGATCACAAGGTCGCATGGCAGCAACTTTACCAGTTATCCCAAGGCTCCCCTTTTCAAAGCTTCAATTCAAAATAACGATAGAAGGACGCAGAATCCTTCCCGCATCAGGAAATATGCAAACTTCACCCTGCTGCTCATCTCTTTGAACTTCTACCTGGTGTGCCACTTCATTCATTTTGCTTTCCACAGAATGAGGTGGCACTATCATCTACTAACTTTTGCATCCCACATTGGCACAACGTCCCAAGGATGAATATTCTTGGATCGTTGCTCGTGCAACTTGCAACCTTTTTGGTTTTTCTTGTGATAGAAGGTGAAGCTACATCTTCTTGCCTTCCCTTCTGGTCTTTTTCATTTACTGCTCTCTTTTAACGGATAGTGGCTCAAAATTTCAACAGAATGCTCAATCCCCGCTGCTGGAGATATAGTTACATTTATCGAGGGCTTTCTGCTCTAAATCTCTTCGGGCACTTAGATATTTCCAATGATCAAAATGGGGTCCCCGGGAAGGATGCTCCCGAAGATGACGCTCTCGAAGACGCGGCCTTAAAAGTAGATTAGGTTCTTGGCTTTCGTTTATTGCTTCTTTGTTCCTGTGTAAGTACCCTTCGTGGGTGTTGTAGTTATATTTTGTAACCATCTCTTGGAAATATAAAAGGATCCCTTTGTTTCCCTTTTGGCTCGTGTTGAATTCCATTTTGTCTTTACTTGTGAAAAATTTGATTGTATAACTTTAATGACTAGTCCAAATACTGGACTCAGGACATAACAAACCCTTAGGTTTTTAATCGATCAATATAATACCCCTTAAGGTTCTTGTTAATCCTCGAGCTAAGCTTAAATCGGTTTGATGTGAACTCGGAACATCGGGATTCCTGAGTCCGAGTCAGGTAAGAGCAAGGTCTAGAATTTGAAATAAATTTAGCCTTTAGGCTTCGTAAATAATCGTCGAGTGAGAACTTTCTTCAAACTCGGGTAGCCCTTGGGCTTAGTAGTTGAGCGAGCACTTGCTCGAACTCGAAATAGGTCGATAAAAAATGAATTGATCTTTGACGCCCCGATCCTGATGCCAAACTCGTGACGTCGGCAGTTGAAGTGACTGAAAGATTGCTATTCGTGTGGTTCCCAATGTCATTAATTGATGGCGACTGACGGTCGGCTTTTTGGCTTCCTCAGTACGCTTAAATGACCTCTATAAATAGATAAACTTCACAATCTTGCAAACTTTATTCTCATATTTTTCTCAAAACCTCATTAGTTCTTTCAATTTCTCTGAATTCTTTCATCACTTCCACTAGCCCCTACTTCATTATCAACATTCTCCACTCTCTTGAATTTCCGCATTATAATGGCTGAGACATCTAATCGATTCCCCAAAAAGAAAAAGCTTCTTCATCTTCTCGACCGACCATGAGTAAACCAGTAGTGCCCTCTCGTATCGAGGAGTGCATTCCTCCGCCATGCGAAATAACATCAGATTTCAAGATTGAGAAACTCGTATCGACACCAGGCCCATGCGAGCCCATGTCTCGATATATCAGTTTGATAACCAAAGATGAGCTCGCGCAAGTTAAGGAGGAGTGCAAGTGGGAGAACGAAGAAGTAGTGATCCCTTCCCCAGAGGAGGATATCACTACATATAAAGTGGGGTACTTAAGCGTGTATACCTACCCATTCACACTGGGTCATGCAGTTCCATCTCAGGGTCCCATAGATCCAGTAATTCTCGACTTTTGCCAACAATATCGAGTGATGCTTGGACAGTTCTACCCTTCATTCTGGCGAATCGTTCATTTGATCAGGTTCTTTTCGAGTCAGGTCGAGGGGATGCCTTTCACCCTCAACCATCTGATCAGACTGTACAGTCCTCGACTTTATCGCGGTGGCTTGATAAAACTGCAACGCCGATCCTTGAAATCTCTCTTTTCCAGTATTGATGAGGATAAAGAACGGGGGAGGATAAGCTAGTTTGTCCGTGTCAAGACCTCCGACCTAATTCCTACTGAATGGATGTCGTTCCCCCAGGAGTGGAACATGAAACGTAAGTACATAGTAGGTTTATACCCCGCTTTCTCTTCTTTTTCTTGGTTTTTTTTCCCTTGGTCTAACCTTTTTCCGATGGCGTAGCTACTGCTTGGTTTCCTGGTAGGGTCCCGGACCTTGAAGGTTGGGTCCGAAAATTGGCTTCAAATTCCTCTTATTCGGAGCATTGCTGGCGAGATTTACCCAAAGGCCAATGGGAGGCCAGAAATCATAGTGAGTTCTCTTGTTTGTTTACTTGTATTTCCTTAGAGGAATACTTTCTTCGACTTTGTGCAGGTCTCGGAGACGCCGTTGCTATGCGGCCGGCCTCGACTGGTGAAGAAGAGAACCCAAAACCTTCTAAAGAAAAGAAAAGAAAAAAGGAGTCACCTGCAAATCCCTCAAATCCCAAGAAAAGCGCGGCTCGAAGGTCAATGGCCGATACGGTGGCCTTATCTCCGGAAACGGCCCAGCGCCTTCGGGATCAGGAAGAAGAAGAAGATGATGACTACCTTTTGGTAGCCCGTAAAAGAGGAAACACCGGTGCTTCGAAGTCCGTCGAGACGGTGATAGTTGATGTGGATCATTCCAGAGTTAAAGGGATCTCTGAGGGAGTTTAAACAATGTCCACGCGCCATCTAGCAGTAAAAAGACACCTCGCATAGATCCCTTTCAAATGAAAGAGAATTCCCTGAGCGGATCACTTGGGGTAATCAATGTGGATGACTCACCGCCTGGTCCCGAGTTCTCTGAGGGGCAATTCCGCGATGCTCAGAATATGAAATCTTCGGACGTGGGGGCGAGCCACGAAGGGCATGACATCTTCCGAGAATGCCTTGTAGGGATTGAAGATTGCCCTGACCCGGATGCTTCTTTCATCTTTGATGAGGCTCGTCGACTCTTCAAACAAGTGATTTTTATTTCCTTTAGAATTACGCGTGCACTTTGCTTTTGTTGTTCTGAATCTAACTTTTCCCCTTTTTCATGAAGCCTATGGTGCTCCACAAAAGGGCATTTTCCAAGTCTCGAGT